AGTGAAAGGCTGTAGATACTATTGTTAAATACCTAATTTTTTAGGCTTAGGGAGGTTCAGGTTGTTCATGATCTCCACAAACTCCTCCATGCTCTTAGTCAAGCGTGGGTTAAACTTGCGCTCCTCGCCCACTGTAGAAACCGTCTGACCTGAAACGCAAAAACAGATGCAGACCAGTGTGACATCTTTAGTCATCGTGGTCCTGAATTTTGTCACATGTTAAATCTGGTCAATGAAAACATTTATAGAGAAACATGCTTCTGACAAACAAAAGATGCACTATAAAAACAACATGTATACAACATCTGTTCCAGCTCCCATTAGTGGGAAATTAATAGCTTTACATTTTCAATGCTTTTAAGCACAAGCCGAAAATCTGTATTACATAAAAACATTCACACTAATGACTCTATAAAATACATAAATGTGTGTCTGCATGTGTTTCAGCCAACCTAAGTAGTCATGTGCTGGGTAGACGAGGCAGTGGTCAGGGAGGGTGTAGATTTTCTCCTGGATTGACTGGTAGAGCCTTTTGGCACAACCTTAAGAAATAAGAGAAAACTTAGAAAACTGCTAAAGGCAATGGCTGTAATACTGCCCCCTTGTGTTCATACAGAAACACTACAAATGAAAATGAACAAAAACACATAAAGCAATAAAGCCAAAAGAGCATGCGTACCCTGCTGGAAGTCTGTCCTGCCACAGCCTCTAATGAGAAGAGCATCACCAGTGAAAGCCATAGTCTGATCCCCAGTTACCAGCGTTATACACCCATCAGTGTGTCCTGGTGTCTCTCTCACAGTCAGAGACTAAAGAAGAGAAAAGACAAGTGTCATGTTAAATCAGTTTTGTCAAGCAAACAAAACCAAACAGGTATGCAACACCTACAAACACTCCATCATAAAAAAAAGAACTTTTTTTTCGCCATACGTGTCTTCCAAAGGGGATCTTGTCTCCCTCTTTTAGGTGGATATCAGCAGATGCACCACTGAATTTGGAGATGGCACTCTTCAGTCCGGCAAGTCTTTTCTTCATTAGGCCAGTACTTGTTATGTGGTCTGCATGGCAGTGGGTGTTAACTTAAAAAAATAAAAAGAAAGTTTGAATGCGAGTCAAGATTACTGTTTATTTTAATCTGCATATAAGAAGAGTCATTGGAACACAGATCAGTGCAAAATCATTTCATAATATTTACTCTTAGGTATTATTATAATATAATATATACATACATACGTGTATGTATATATTAAACAGAAAACAGACGTTTAAAGAGGGAAATACAAACAAACAAGTCCAGTACTATATTTATTTTGGCCCCAAGGGTAATAATGAAGTATGTTTTCATAAAGTTCA